GAGAGAGAGAGAGAGAGAGAGAGAGAGAGAGAGAGAGAGAGAGAGAGAGAGAGAGAGAATGACAGGGGGAGAGAAAGTGGGGCGGAGGGGTAGGAGATTGCAACGAGAGAGAGAGAGAGAGAGAGAGAGAGTGCACAGGAGGAAAGAAATCCACGGTCGCTAGTTGCTGCCAAGTTCGAACGAACTCACCCTCAGCAGGGCGTTCCGCGTTCTCGGTTTGTACGTAGGTCCGTCTTTGTTCTCCCCATACCAATAGAAAGTTTTCGAGGTTGGGACGAAGAGGATGCTCCCTCCATGAGCTTGAATCGGCTTTCCATCCATGTCTAACCATATCCGCCCTGGTACAAACCATGGTTCCCCACCCCTCCTTGGGTCGATCACCTCTCCCGCAGCGAACTCTTCATCATCTTTCCTCCTCCCTCCGTTCCAATGTCCAACCAAACGAGGTCGACCCACCACTCTCCCTTCTATCCCTCCTCCTCCTCCTCCTCCTCCTCCTCCCTCGTCATCACCTCCCCCTCCCACTTTCTTCACGGAACCCTGTACCGAGCTACCGGTGCCAGTGGGATAGCCATCGGACTCTCCTCCTTCGGATGCTTGAGCGGACACAAGCCTCGTTCCGCTGGCCGTTATGGTCGCCGTTAACACTCCAGCTGACGTCAACCAGTCCTCCCTCCGTTTGACAACGTTAGACGAGGAAGACCCGTTCTGCATCCAGCGCTGGCCATGCCTCAGGACGATACAAAGAACTACAAACCACATCCCGCCTACGTACCACAGCTTCGTACGTTCTGCCCCGCTGCTAGGTCTTCTCCTCACCATCAATCAACCGTCAGCCACCGTTAGTACGTATACTACAGGCTCGTCAGACGCTCACACGTGTTCGATGGGCAAAAGTTGGAACAACTGGCGGTGGACTGACTAACCACGGGTTACAACCCACAGACCACATGCGTCCTACACCGTTAGATCGTCTTCTCACCATCAACAGACCGTTTACCACCGTTAGCAGTTGGAACTGGCGGTGGACTGACTAACCACCGGTTACAACCCA